GATGAACGTCGGCAAGAATGGTCTCCCATTAGGAATCTAGGATCTGTCCATTTGTTGCAGCAAAAGTATGCAAAGTCCATTAGAGTTTTGACCATTGGGTGGACAATGGCAACACTAGCATTAGAACAAAGCATACAGTGTTCGAGAACACTAATCTGTGCATTTGTTCATATCATACTATGGGACAGTCTGGTTTTCTATTTTTGTGTGACAAAAGCATTGATTTCAATTGAAATTCATATAAAATAGCCTTTCTTTATGTGTTCTTTACTTTATCATGTACAGAAAATGGAGTCCTATAATCACAGAAGAAGGTACTCATACCATTGTTCTACGAACTAGCACGGCTCGGTTGCAAGCCGCCTCTACCGCGGCACACACCTGATCACGCGGACGCCAACGATGCCACACTCCAATGGGAGAGCCCCGCCATGCCACCAAAAGAACACCTGAGCCACCACAGCAGACCGGGGTACTCCGCCTCCGCCTCCGCCACCGCCACAAGTCCAGTGGGCATAGATTTGTTTCTAGTTGCAGGGGATATGTCTAATTTAGGTCAACCTATAGGGCATCCAAACAACAAATAGGATACTATAGCGACTCCAAAGAGATGTCAGCACAGCCAGGCGTCTAGCGCAATGGTAAAGACGCTCCAATCCTTGGTCCAGATCTCATGTTCGCCTCCCAAGTATCAAACCTTTTTTGAGAAATTAAACCCGACGACCCACATGGTACAAGTGACACGCAAACCGTTAGGTCCCATAGGTCGGACGGAGATGGAGAAAGGTCCCACAGGTACATGTGACACGTAAGCCTCGGGTCCCACAGGTCAGATGCAGAAGGACCGAGCAGAGACTTTTATGACAAATTACAAGCGTCAAGTGACACGCAAGCCATCGGGTCCAACAGGTCGGATGGAGATGGGCCATCGGGTCCCACAGGTCGAATGGAGATGGAGGACGGTCCCACAGGTACACGTGACACATAAGCCATCGGGTCCCATAGGTCGAATGCTGAAGGGTCCCGTAGGTACATGTTGGACAGAGAAAGGACCAAGCGGAGACTTTTATGATGAATGCCAAGCGTCACGGATGAGTAACTACAGGTCCCATAGGTACACGTTGGATTGAGAAGGGTCCCACAGGTACACGTCGCGTGGAGATATGATTGAGCGGAGACTTTTATGACGAATTGCAAGTGTCAAGGATGAGTAACTGCAGGTCCCATAGGTACACATCGGATGGAGAAAGTACTGTGTGGAGATCTATGATGAAGCCGTTCATTACAGATTGAATATTGTTCATCATAGATGTGTAATTAGTTCAATGACGAAGCCCTATTCATCACAGTTTTAAAGGATATCATCACAGATGAGTCATGCGAGTGATCTGTGATGAATCCCTATGCTCTTCTATGACATTTTTTGTGACGATGCCTGATTGCATCATAGAAAGGGAGGGTTGCAAGATCGTCACCACTGATCTATGATGAAACAAAAATATTCGTCATAGAAAGCAATCTTCTATGACGATTTTGGATTCGTCATTAAGATTTTCGTCATAGAAGTGTATATTTCCAGTAGTGTATCCTACATCTCCTCCTACATTACGAGGCATACTGGTGAAAGAAACATGTATTGCAGTCACCGTTCTTCAACCAATGAACTTTTGCACGCTACCTCCAATAGAGATTCTTTTGTTCTTCTAGTCTTGAGAGCTTGTATTTCAAAATCTGCTCTCTATTCACCGACCCCTAGCTAATCTCCTTCCTCCTACGCTCCTCCAATGCTCGCCTCACCCTTTTAATGCGCTTCTCCAGATCATCGAGCACATTTGTACCCTAGTCTCCTAGCTCCTATGCCACACATCTAATCGCCTCCCCAACCTTTGCCCCGTCCACCTCCATAGCTTTGAGCCAAGCATATTATCTACAATAGGAGCGCATTGCTCTTCCTCCACCCAATCGGCCTCAAAGCGAAAATAGGATTTTGCTCTCCGTCCTAGCCCATGTGACCAAGCTTCTATATCAACAATCACTGGCCGGTGATCGAAGTGCCATGGCTCCCCATTTCACACCCGATACAGGCCAAATCATGTTGTCCAGCACTACACGCCACCACACGATCCAATCTCTTGCGGATGTAACCATCACTAGTGTGACCATTATTCCGCCAGGTGAATGGATCTCCTTCAAAGCCAAGATCCATCAACTCATAATCCTCCAGCGCTTCCTTGAAACAATCCATGCACCCCTGTGCCCGTGGGGGCCCTCCATCCTTCTCATATTCCAGCAGGACTTCATTGAAGTCCCCAAGACATAGCCATGGTCGCTGTCTCGCAGCATTTAGAGTAAGCAGCACATGCCATGACAAGCACTTCTTCTTCGTGCTCGGCTCTCCATAGAAACCCGTGAGCCTCCAAAGAAAACATCAGCTTCCGTTATCTCTGAATCAATGTACAAGCGCGATATGCCACGAACATGTAGATTGATCTCCTTCTTCCAAAAAATTACCAGACCACCACTTCGCCGTCACACTTCTTCACAACCATATTTGTCAACCCAAGCCTTTGATCCTTTTCTCATCCATCTTTGTTTCGAACAAGAAAAGAACGTCAGGGTCCTCCTCCTTCTGAACATTTAGAAGGCCTTGAACTGCCGTGATGTTCCCCAACTCACAGCAGTTCCAAGCGATGATCCTCATTTCAACCCGCGGAGCTGTTTCGATAGCCTTGCTTCACAAGAAGTGTGCACTTCATCATCTACATTCACCTTAGCTGTCCTAGAATTTTTATTCACCTGTTTCTCATCTTCATCAATCGCCACCGCCTCATCTCCAGCCCTCTTCTTCTGTGTCATCTCCCCCTCAGCCACTATTTTCCCCAGCCTCCTTTTGCGCGTGAGGAATCCGTTTGAATTTCTTTGGTGTGCGGGCCTTCTCCTCCTCTTTCCTCCCTGCAGCTAGGGTCTTCTATGCTTCCTGCATGGTACTGTTCACTTGCAAGGAGCTATTCATGTGCCCAGCCTCCTCAGAAGCACGCACGCCAGCCCCCTCACTCTTCTGTCCTCTAGTCAGAGCCTGCAGGAGCTTTTTCTTTGCCCCCGGCTCCTCCCCACTAGCACCCTACACCGTCTTCTTGGGTGGACCCGTTGCTTCCTCCCCTTCTTCCTCCTCTCCCTTGCCATTCTTTCCTTCAATTAGTTTCCTGGTCTCCCTTTGCCATGATGGCGCATCGCTTCTATTCCTACCCCCACTACCACCACTCCTAGAGTCCCCTTCTGGTTCGAAGGATCACCCCCACCCGACCTCCACGAGGATGAATTTATATTTTCCATCCACCTCTAGCCATCTCCCCCTATCCTCCACTTCAGTGGAATATATCGCAACTTCTTACTGAAAGGCGCTTTCTCCCCTGGACCAAGCCTCTTCTGGCACATCCTATCAACATGGCCAATGAGCCCACACACATAGCAGAACTCTGGCAAAAATTCATACGCAATCGGACACCATCGATCCTCCTTGTCCGCCCCCATGCCCATCGTAATTCCCCTTCGGAGAGTCTTCCTTTTGTCCAACCTTATTTTCAGGCGTAGAAATCTTCCAGCCACCGGTCCTTCCCCTTCAGACTCTAGCTCCAGGAACTCCCCTATCTCATCTCCAATCACCTGGGCCACAGCTTCGGTCATCATCCCCATCGGTAGCCGATCTATACGAAGCCAGATCGGGATGGACGAGAAATCCACTTCATCAATCGATTTAGACCCATCAAAATCTGCCACCACCGAGAGCTCCTTCAAAATCATCCATGAGCCCTCATCCAGGGCTTTGCGTTTCCCTGTTGCCTAATGGAACGTGAAGAGGAACGTGTTGTCCCCCAGATCCTTGTAGTCAATGCCCTTCGCCGGACACCAGATCCAACCCACAGTTTCTTCTATGACCTCCGGCCGCACCACCTCTCCGACAATAGCTTCCCCACCGCCTGGACCGGGTGGTCCCAAACCTAGATCAATCCGGATACTCTTCTTCTCCTGCTCTGAAAGCTGCAGTTTCTTCATCAAGCCCTCCACTCCTTCCATCTCCAAACGACCTTGTTCAACCACAATCCCACCACCTTGAATGCACATCGGGCCAGGACACGACGACGGTGGCGTTTGAGTGGACACTTTGTAGGCTAGCATAACTAGGGTTTATGTTTTTGTGGACACTGCAGGCAAGAACATTCTCGCACCCTAATTGGGAACGAGATGACAGGGGTGGGAGATGATCCCATCCAGGAGACCAAGAACCAAGATCTCGGTTACGGAAACCTACACGAGAAAGATTGAAGGAGAGGATCGGGAAGAAGGATGAGGAGGTGCCGTCGTCAGATAGAACCGCTCGAGTCGCCTAGGATGACCTAGGCGCCGAGAACGGAGCGGCCTTTGGAATGGCCAGTATGGGATCCCATCTTAACAACCTTGTGATCTTTGGGGGTCATTCTACCATTGTTGAACATGGAAAAACAGTACACACGAATGGAATTGTTATGTCGGCTTCAGGCCGCTGCATGTGTGCCGCTGAGGGTTTGTGTGGGGTCATGCAGAACCACTAGATTTACAAAATTATTACATGGTTTCTGTTTCAGAGATATACAGACGCCGCACCACCAGATTCAGAAAATTACATACAACTAAAATAATAAAACCGGCAAATCCATTACAAGTCGAAACTAGGACGTCGTTGTGCTGCTTGCGGCTATTTTACATTTCACCACTGGACTGTAATCCCATTCGGTTTCCGTTCGCCACCGGGTCGATTTTGGCCTTCGATCATCTCAGTAGCAAGACGACGACGAAACTAAAACGAACCAAGATGCATGCCAGATCAGCGGTAAATTTAGAAAAGGAGGAATATCACCAACAGCATGCTCCCACCAAGAAACTAGAAAAGTCCAGTGAGTTGAAGAACGAAATGAAGACGTACGCATACACCGATACACGGAACGGAACCACGGGGCCGGGGTCTAGGCGGTTCGTTCTCCGGGCTGCAGGGCAAGCCTCTCCCTGGCGTCCACGAGCGCCTCCTCCAGGTCGCCCAACACGGCCTCCAACCGCTTCCGCTCCTTCTTGACGTCGCTGGCATTGGCCCGCAGCCTCCTCCGGACGGCGCCGGCGCCCTCCCTGGTGTACGTGTACCTCGCGCCGGGATCATCGTCTGCCGCAGGAACCGGCACGCCGACGACAGGAACAGGAGCGGCCGGCGGCGGCGCCCTCCGTGGAGTGCGCCGCTTGCCACGGGACGCCGCGGCGATCTGGTCCTGGAGGGTTTTGCGCCTGGAGGCCAGACGGGACAGCGTCCGCTGCACGTCGTCCAGCACGTACTCGATGTCCTCCGCGCGGGCATCCGGCGGGAGCCCGAGGAGCAAGCCCCTGACGACGTCGGCGCGCATGGGCATGGGCGCGCGTGGCTGCGATGCTGCTGCCTCTGCCTTCGCTGCCGCCGCCGCCATGGTAGCGAGTGAGTGGTACGCGATCGCGAGTTCGCGCTTGTGCGTGCGTGGCGTAGCAACTGCTGGCAACACGAAAGTGCGGCGTCTGTGTTGGGTGAACTTGGTGGTATGTTCATCCGGTGATAAATAGACTGGACGGGACATCGAGTGGGAGTGGATGTTGTACTTGTACGTAGGTGATGGCTGATGATGTGGCGGTTATGCGTGAGTACGTGCATTGTCGATGTGGGAAATGGGAACGCCAAGGGGCTGGGGCTGCGTGCATGCATGCTGCAATCGAACGACGAGAGGGCGTCTGATCGCATACTCGCGGTTGCTTAATGGTTTGACAGATCCACTGATGCGTTGCATGCACGGTGACGACCCTGGCGCTGCTCATTACTCGTATCGTACTGTACAAATATAATTTAAGTGCGTCTGCGTGCATTACTGTGTTTCATCTCTGTCGCTCACCTTCTGCCATGCGTGCGTCTGCGTGCATTACTCGTACAAATTTAAGCTAGCATGTCTCTATCGCGGACAAGGTTTCCACTTGGGTAGATAGATTCGTTTCAGATCATAAGTCGTTTTGGTTTCTCTAGTACTTTTGTTATGTATATGTAGACATAGCATATATTTAATTAGGTGCATATACATAACAAAAGCTACCTAGTTAGAATAGCCAAAACGACTTATACTCCGTAATAATTTGGAACTCCTATGGATGATCGCGTGTGGCATGCGAGTTCTGTAATTTTGGGAACAGTGGGACACATGGTGCTGTGCTTCTGTCAGGAACCATGGGTAGGCTAAGCCAGCTGACGGGTTGGAGGAGCAAATGGGCTCCAGCACCCAAGAAGGAAGTCACACGAGATGCAACGTGATACAAATACAGAAGCATGCCAAGACGATGAACTGTCGAAGGACCAGGACTCTGAACTGGCGGCGAGCGTGAGCCCGAGGCGAGTCTGCGGACTCGATCTACCCCTTCTCCTCTCTGAGGTCGGTGAAAACTTCTTCCAAGTATTACCAGAATAATTGGGTTAAGCCGAACTGATCAAGTGGATGATTGTTTAGTTTACCCTAATTAATTGGGTAGTTCCTCAAAATATTGATCATAAAAACATCAATTAATTAGAACAAGTTCAAGATATAAAATGATACATCTCCGGATCCCTACTAATTCTAGGCACAATAAATATATGAAACCTTACATCGAAGGAGCTCGACGAAGACGAGCTCGTGATGCTTGAGAGGGAGCTAGACCCAGGTGGCCCAGTAGGGGGACGGGGTTTCAAACATATGACCGGCTTAGACTCTATGCTCATCTTCTTATGTCGTCCTTTCGCCGAGAATTTCCTTGACATTTCCTTGAATTTTTACACTCCTAAGCCTTTGTGTTGAGTTAAAATGATTGAATGATTGTGGTGGCTCCCCTTGGCAGTTTTTATCCCAAAGGATGATTCGAATCTGGACTCACCATAGATGGCTAATTTCCTTTGCTTCTTGGACTACAATCAAATGGGCTTCAACAACTGTGCCTCTCTTTTGGACATTGGACAACCCATTAGCATTCACTCCAATGGGTTGGGCTGCTAGGACTCGGGCTCAAAAAATATATGGGACATCTTGTATTTCAGGGTTCAAAATTTTGGTGACTACAATCAAATGAACTTTGGGGATGTATTTCGTATTACATTAATACATGTGTTATGTAACTCTAGAGTCATATTTCTGTTGTTTATATATTGCATATTCTTCTACTCAATAGATGTGTAGTAAACTAGTAATTCATCATGCAAATATTTTGTTTGAACCTAAAATTTTTAGAAAAGTCATACTTTCATCGTCGGGCCTCCAAAAAGTTTTGGCAAAATTTAGCAGAGATTTCAGTAATTTCAGAGGTGGCTAAAAAAATCCTAGTACCGAAATTGAAAACCCTGATTTTAGGAAAAGTATCAAATTATTAAGAAGCAAATGAAAAGTCCATCATGTCTCTCGTTAAACATCCAGGCCAACTTCTGAATGGCTTACTTTCTGGCCGAATCAACCCTGATTGTCCCTCAAAGGAGTATGACTTCATTTGCAGTAATTCTTAGTATAGGGCGTCCGCCCGTGCTAGTGCAACGACCGCCCCTTCATGTGCTCATCCACTCGCCCCCAACCGTTCTTAAAAAAAACTCACCCCACCGCAACGCCGTGACAGGTCTCCGCGAGACCGTGACCGCGCTCTGCCGCGCCCGCGCCACCTCAGCCATCGTGCTCTCCACCACGCCTCCGCTCTGCTAGGCGGCATCTCCACCGCACCAGAGAGCAGCAGCCCGTCTTCCTCCCTCTCCACTACACCTCTCGCCCACCGCGGCCTTCTAGAGCGTGTGGACCCGCCGCGGTCATCTCCACCGGACCTGCCATGGCCTTCTCCACCGGATCGGCGAGCTCCGCGCCACCAGTGAGCTCTACACCGATCAACTCCACACGCCGATGAGCCTCCATTCCAAAATAGCAAGGAGATATTGCGCTGAAAGCGTATATTTCAAGTGTTTCAGATGTTTCAAGGTATGTTGCAAGTGTTTTATGTGGATGTTGCAAAAATAAATCGGGATGTTGCATATGTTGCAAGTATTTTAGAGGCATGTTGCAAGTGTTTCAAAGGCATGTTGCAAGCGTTCATCCAAAATATTTCATCTGTTTCAGACGTATGTTGCAAGCGTTTCGATCTGGATGTTGCATATGTTTGACACATATATGTCGCAAGAGTTTGTTCAAAATGTTTTAGCCGTTTCAGTCTTGTGTTGCAATAAGTGTTTTTATGTTGCAAGTTGCAAGTGTCACTACAACAATAAGCATTTGTAGGGGCGGCGGCTCGGCCAGCCGCCCCTACCATACCGTCTCTACAAATCATACATTTGTAGGGGCGGTTCCTAGACTGCCCCTACAAATCGATTTGTAGGGGTGGCTGGTAGTACCAGCCGCCCCTATAATACCTGTTTGTAGGGGCGGTTCAGTCTAGAACTGCCCGTACAATACATTTTTCTGCCAAAAAATCAAATTTATAATTCAAATTCGACCGGAACACATATATATATATATGCATATATAATTCAAATCTGACCAGAACATATATAATTCAAATCTGACCACAAGCACAAGAGCATTTTATAAACTACCATTACAAGTCCAATTCACAAGAATATATACAATCCATCATTAAATAGATATAATTCACAAGTCTAATCCATTCCACAAGTCCAAACCGTCCCATAAGGTAAGACCAATGTTAAATTCCATATATATTATTATCAACGGCCTAGAGCTAGCCTTTCAGTCTCACAAAGGTGTTGGTACTGAGGATTTCTACCTAAGTCAGAATCTCAATCATGGTAGGTGCCTTTGACATGTACAATCTGGTCCAATATGAAGTTGCAAAGGTCGCCGACGAGCTCTAAGAGTTGGTCATCCTTGTATGAGTCTCTTTTTATTTCTTTCTCTTCTTTCCACTACAAGAGAACAAGTTTCGGTTTAGTATTTCATATCATGTGCGAAGTTTTTATACTACGGGTGAAGAGGTTCAAACTTACCCTTAAAGGATGTCTCCTATAGGCACCGGTGTTACTCATCATAGAACATACATAGTATCCACAATATACACTCCCCGGCATCTGCTTGGGGCACTGTGTGTTTTACATATGGAAATGTTAAGTAATGCTTTTGATAGCCATGTAATAGAATACAAAAGTAACTTGCACTTACCGCACATAGTGTTTTATAGCCAGCCTTTCCTTCCTTACTGGATCATGCCTTCTGTGATGTTGATTGACATAGAACCTAAATGCCCTGTTCGAATTACTTTAGCAAATACAACTTGTTAGTATCTAAAAGTGAACGTTATAAGTATGTATACAAACATATAAGCTAATGAGGATTGTCGATATGTATACATCTTGAGAATCGATATGAAGTCTTTGTATGTCACCGGGTCCCTATCTATTGAATCAAAGACCCATGCCATGCTCCTCCCGACATCGATGCCTATACAAATCCAGTGGTTGCTGCATGGATTTAATCATAGAACTAGATAAGCTCTTTTGTATCGAATAAAATATATCGAACAAAGCTTTAAGTATAGAGTTGAACTTACTCGAAGTTGTATGGTAGCCATATAGTAGAGTGTTGTATGGTAGCCATATAGTAGAGTGTTGTTGAAGATTTTTAAAAACCAGGGCAATATATGCTGAAACCTTAAGGGACTCTTGCCTTAGTTTCTTCGCACGGATGTCCTCTTTCTCCCGAAGGGTCTTTCCAGTAGCTAGCTCTTTGGCATCTAGTTTCCACTGTCTAGGGTAATTAAAATTTGTTTGTGCTATAGCTTGAGGGTCTATATACCTGGCTTTCACACCTGGCATTTGTTTTACAATGTGCACCTGTATTCTACAAATCACGGCGTGGGTTAGTTACAACAAAATCCAAAGGTTACATTCATATCATATCGGGAGGACAATGACTTACAGGCACCACGTGCGAATTAGATTCATTTCCATTGCTCCAAGGTGAAAGCATGTCTGCATATCATTGAAGTCAAATATAATTTTCTCGACTAGGCTTCCAAATGTGCCGGTGGGGAAGCATGCTTCTACGAGGTCTATGCTCGTTAGGAGAACACGCAAGTACCAATCATGGAACCTTCTCATTCCAAGTGGTAGGCGCTGGATGTCCTGGTTTGGTAGAAAGGGCTTGCCTCTTTCATATGTTTTTGGGCAATCCTTTGACCATTTGATGGCATCAACATTTGGATACTGCTTTGCTGTTTGGTGGAGTTTGCTAGTGATGGCCTTTCTCAGAAGCCTGTGATGGGACTTTTTTAACTTGGTTCTCAGGCTTGAACTGGTCATGGGCATACCACTTATGCACCGATGAGACGTCTTTCATTGGAACATAAATTAGCCTTATGGTGATTGGATGCTTCTTTAGAAGTTCCCATTCAGGCACGTCCTCATCTTCTTGTGCATCACCTTCTTTAGGAG